CATCATCATGAATTCTGGTAGTTGCCTGTATACGACAGTTGGGGCAAAGTTTTTTACCAGGGACGATATGGTAACCAAGATCGGAAAGCTCCTTTGCAAGGGATAGCTTTACCTCCTTTAACCCACCTAAAAGATATAAAGGTTTCAGTGACATCACAAAAAGAGATACGAACACTTGACATTATTTGAATTTTGCCTTGGTTGGAAAGAACTGTTCAATACACACATTAGCATGAAGAACCACAATGAAAAGCACAGGTTTCATTTAGAAAAGAAAAGAATTGCGTTATTTGAGTGTTGATTGTAAAACATACTTCAAAGTCAAAATCATCTCTTTTTGTATCCGTTTCTATTTTATTCCTTTAACGATATATTTTGTCTGGGGCCACGTTATTTCTTTTTTCAGACAACTACTTGTAAAAATGCTTCTTATCATGAATAACGGCCCAAGAGTCACCATCAGATTCAAAATGCAATTAGAAATCGATGCATAATGCTATTTTTACTCACCTTTTACTTCATTTTGATGGGCTTTGAAAGGGTTGCAGCAATTCTTTTGGTATAGCAAAAACCTCTGTGTTACAACTTTTTCATGATGAAAGCATATATCTGCATCGACATTGAGAATAGAGACACCTGTCCTCCACATTATAACTTCTCTTGCATCTACATCAAATGAATCTAGCTTTTTAAGACCGACTTTCCTACAGAACTTCAACTGATGACAAGAATCTCCTAAGTATTCTCCTACAGTACAGATCTTTGCGCTTGCCATGATTCTGTTTTGCATTCAAACGAATTTTTGGCTGACTACCACTGCTCTTTCAGTTATCAGAAAATGTTAATAAAGGAAATGAATGACAACTGAAACAGCTGAGATCGCAACTGCGTTGAACTTATGAATTGACCCTTAGAAAGATTTCCTGTGAAAAGCTGTATAATACACAAAAGGGAAATCAGAAGTCTAATATGTTGATGTTTTAGGGAAATCAGGAATCTAACACGTTGGTGTTATAGGGAAATCAGGAATCTGGCTTGTTGGTGTTAACAGAGGTCAGGAGTCTCTATCAGGGTCACTAGTTTCCTGCATCCGGCTCAGCTATGTTTTGTTTCCGTTTTAGAAATAAGTGAAGGAGAGGGTTCATTCAGAAAAAAGTAACCACGAAATATGACTATTCTGATATGCATTAAATCTAGAACCAACAAGTTTATCATAAACAGCAGCTTGATAACTAAACTAACACATCTACTAGACTTGGAGATTTTACAGAGGACAGGCCTCAGCTCCCTATCAGTTTATATTTTACAGCCCCCAAGCCCCTTACAACCGTTCAGCATACATTAGCCAACACCCATGTCCACACCCATGTCCCAAACTGATTTATATGCATTATTCTAGCAGTATGCTGATAAATTGTAACACACAAAGATCCTTAAAAGATCAGTCCCTGCTTTTACATATTTTTAAAGAAATTTTCAGCTAGCAATTTGCTAATTTTTAACAGGGCGAAGAAGACGAAAGAGGCATTCACAGTACCTAGCATTTCTAGGGCTGTAATTTTGTAAAGACAAATATAACCCTGCTAATTCTTTGTAAAAGAGTTACTTGTGACTATAGCTTCGTGCTTAGAAAATTTGAAATTTATCACAGGTGTGCAACATGACAAAAATTTGCATAACATCTTGACAACTCGTTGCTATGACAACAACTGCTCCTCGTTAAGTAGTTAATTACAGACTGTGGGTGTGTCTCACAAATTTTTTATAACTTTTTTTGAAATCCTGATACATAAATTAGTCAAAAACATGATTTTGACATCAAGATGCTAAGTAGAGACATTTATTTAGTATATTTAACCTCTGGGTTATATTCAAAATGGCGGACATTGGGAAAAATGCTGAGAATCAGCAAAATTTCAAAATGCTCTATTTTTAGAACAACAAAAGATTTTGAAGTAAAATTTTGTATATGTGTTTATCTCATGGTTATCCACTTTTCCACAAAAGATGAGCAAATTCTGAGACTTTGGGTTACAAAATGAAGAAATTTGTCCCATTTTGAAATGGAATGACCCTTTAATAAAACTTATGTCCATCCTTTAACCAAATTGTGATATATTAAGTTAATGATATTACAAAGCTCTAACCTTTTGCCATATTGTTATTTCTTATTCACCTAAAGCCAATTTTTGCCAGAGAAGATATAACCATTCTTGGTCAAGCTTTTTTGTAAATACTTAGGTCTAAACTTCTAGATTTTGTCACCAAACAAACAAACATTGTGAGTAATTTTGAACAGCATGTGTTAGAAAAATTGCACTTTTGACTTTTTTAATTTGTGGTTCATCAAAGCCTTTTTAGCAAAATGCATTTGTAGACCAATATAGTTTGTTCGGACAACTTGCATCTTATAAAAACAACAAATAGAACACCATTTTCAAATAGATGAGGCATTGGCAAAAGTCTGTAGAAGGCAATAAAAGTATCAATATTCTGGATTAAATATAAATATTTGTTTGCTTTCATTTATACTTTTTGATGATATCTGATGAGAAGCCGGTTAAATTGCAAAGAAAATTAAAACAAGCTATTTGAATACTTGTAGATTATGTTTATAAGGCCCATCTCCAATAAGCCTCCCTCAAATTAGCCCAAATTGCAGAATTTTCCTACATTAATAGGACCCAAGTGAGCTAATTGGAGGATTTATGGTATGTATGTCTTTATCCTTGCTAAAACTTAACTTAAGCTCTTTTGAAATGTTTGCTATCCCTATTGTAGAAGTTTTATTCTATTTTCATCATATTCTGGAAGAGTGTTTTTGCCATTAAACTGAGGCTCATAGCTCAGTGGTCAGTCCATTGAAATGGTTCAGGTTCAAGTTAAGGTGTTAAATAGAGGGTGTTAGTAAAAGATCAGATTGATCCCCAAACCCTTGCGTGGTACCAACCCTTCCAAAGTGGTGCCTTGCCATCCTCACCCCACATAGGACTACAATTGGCATTTGTACTTTTGCAAAAGTACATTTGTATTTTGTTTGTTTGTTAACTGTTCATCTAAGAAAAATGTGTTCATTTTATGATTTCCTATCTTGTATCCTCCTTACCAAGAAAGCTGTTGATTTTTCAAGCTGAAGGCTATAATGTCATGAAAGTAGGACCAATAATTATGAACCAAATTTTTTCCTGGAGCTGGGGAGCAGGCTCTGTCTACAAACATCTTTACTGGCAGTCTTTGACTAGTATTTATATTAGCTTTTCCATGTTAAGTTTTTCCATGTTCTTTGCAATTAGTGAACAAATTTTTTAGCAGGAATGCTAAATTTAACTTAAATCGTTTGTACAAAAAAAGTTGTATATAGAAAAACATCATATTTGATACCCTTATCAAAATTAGCTTCGTTTTAAAAAGGCTGCTGTTTGACTTGTCAAAAAAGAACCTGCAGTCCTATGTATGCTGGTCACAAGTAGAGAGTTGTGTTTTGAATGATAAAGAAGCAAAGATTACAATCAATTTATAAACCTCTTGCCAAGCAAATGTATCAATTTGATCATTTTTGTGAATAGATTTTCCCTGGCAATGGCTTTTTTAGCCTCAAGTACATCTTTCATTTGCCTGGTTGTTTAAAAAATTTGTCGAAAATGTGACAGCATGACATTATCATTTTCTGCTAACCTGGATAATCTTATTGATTGGAAAGGCTTCAAGCATGCATTTCCCATTGCTTGTTGCGCTATGTGTTCTTTGCTTAATCTGTTATTCCTTTAATTATTCAGTGTCTGATAGTCACTTTTCAGAACCATATCTCAATTTTCAGTGTTTATATAAGTGCTTTGCTTGCTACAATACTTAGATCTCATCATCAAGTAGCTTTATTTTCCCAAGAACCTTTTAAGCCTCTGTTTATTTATTTGTAAAGATTTGCTCTTGCCACAATGTCATCAGGCTAAATCCTAGCCATATAAGGTGCTTCAGAATCACCTGACTATTTCTTTCAATGATGGCAATTTAGAAGTAGTACTTGAAATTTGTAGATGTTCTTAGGATACCATCATGAATATCTTGTCCTTCATTTGTATACAGACATAATAATTTGCTTTTAGAGAGCAATAGGGAAACTTAAATCTAGCAATAAGCTATTTTCCAAATAGAACGCTTGGATTGAAGAGAGAGAGTACATGTATCCCTCAAAATCGCAATTCATTTGATTTATAACTTTTTGACAATGGTTTATAACCTTTTGGTTTATAACCATTTGACATTTGTTTGTTTCTTAGGTATATGTGCTTCATATAAAATGGCCACCCGTGGGATAGCTTATGTATAGCCCATGAATATCGTGAATGTATTTGTTGTGTTTTAACCTTTTATAAGTGCATAAAAGCTTCTAATCGAAAACATTTCTGAATGACTTCTCTATTTCATCTTTTTAGCTGTAGCATCCCTTTAGCGATAGTTTCTTTTTAACAAGGATTCGCTTATACAAGAATTCTCACATTGCTTTGATTGATATTCATTTTAGGCAACTACAAAAAGGCGGTAAAACGAATAGATGACGGCGCTATTATCTGTGATGAAATGGTCCGCATGGTAAATGAAAGAGCTGAAATCGAGGCAAAGTACGCACGCAAACTTACTGCTTGGGAGGAGAAATGGAAGAAACAGGTTGAGAATGGACCTTTATATGCAACTATGAAAAATGCAGTTACAGGGGTTATTCGAGAAGCACAAGAGAGAGCCAAAGTTCATATGGATTGTGTTGGAAAGCTGCATAATCAGGTTTTAGAAAGCATAAAAAGATGGAAAAGCGAAACTTATCACAAGCACTTCATGGGTTATTGGAAGGAAACAAAAGAGGTATGATATCTTTCATAGCCATTT